CGCTCCGGCTGGCAGGGATCTGAGCCCTTTTCACATTGGCTCATTCGACTCACAAGGCCTGTGAGGAAGGGTCCATTCCTACTCTTGCTACAGAGTAGTAAAGAGAGGCACAGAAGGGGCCAATGGGAGCATGATGGTTAAAGTACTGGATTCCACATGGCTGACCATGGTTTGAGTTCTGGACCCAGCGGCTTAAAAATCCTTGCTGGGTGCATGTGCCTGTGTGCCCAAAATTCTGAAATAGAAGGAGAAGGGACGGCACCATGGCCGTGTGCCATTGGGGGGTGATTTCTCACTTTCTCTGTCTCTCTAGCAAACGCATGTGCCTTATGACAACAACTTAAAAGAGAGCAGCACGGGAGGCTCGAGTAGCTGCCCAAGTCCACCTGGATGACTTCAGCCATGAAGGACTCAGTGTACAGGGACAAACACACGAGGATGAGCCTTCTGAGATCCAAGCAGGCTCAGGAACCGTGGGGTTGCAGCAGCAGCCCCCCTTGTCCTGTCCTGAGTACCCAACCTGTGGAAAGACTCGGCCTTGCACCCCAGTGAGGTGCGGCCTGGACGGACGTTCTGCTATTGGCATGTGATGGTGGGGCACCCCAGCAGCATGACATAGTCCCCCCCACACCCTGCCCCAAACCACACTTACTCATTCCAGCCAGCTGGGAGGAGAGGTTGCCGGTGGCTGCTGTGTCAGGGCCCATGTCGATCAGGTCAGCTGCCTGCTCGGCCTCACTGGGAGCCTGGGGGAAGGTGGCGCCCCATCACGCGTGCTGCCTGCAGCCACCTTTCCTCCTGCTGCCCAGCACGAGGGCCTGTGTCCTTTCCCACATATCTGCCACCAGGGCCCCAGCCACTGTGACAGGGAGCCGGCCTGTTTCTCTCCAGTTGTTCTTCCTCCCCATTGGCCGGGCTCAGCTGGTGCCCCTGGGAGGTTGGGAAGACTCTGGGGCATCAATTGGTGGCCCAACTTATTCCCTTTAAAGGGGCCATCCCATACAAAGCTGGAAGGGGACTTCTCTATGAGCCCGGATAAGAAAGCACTACCCTGTCCAGGACATCATGGAGGGGCAGTGAAACAGCCCTCGACACGGCATGATCTAGACACATAAAAAGAAGCCTTTACCTTGGCGGCCTGGCCTGTTCGGAACCGTTCAAACCTACAAGACAGAAAAGAACTGGGTCAGGGAGACAGACTGAGATGGGTTGTCCTGGCCCAGCCTGGCCCCAGTCAATGTGGATCTGGGTGATGCAGACCCAGGTCATGCGTGCTGTTCCACATAATTATCGACAGTGACTCTTTTACTTGCAAAAGTGCCTGATTTGGACCATGAATTATGGCCACCCAAGTCACAATCAGATGAAACACACAGGAACAGACTAGGACAGGAAACAGGAAGATGCAGCACGTGTTTCGGAGACTCGTCTTAGTCGTGCACTGGCATGTCTGTGGGTGTACATGGGCAGCTCTCTAATGCGGTGTCAAGAACATCCAGGCATCCCTGACCCTGTCTTATGAAGTCACTTAAGTGCCAAACATTTGGGAGGCGGATGGAGGCCGTGGGCTGGTATCTGTCTGTATCATTACTGTGTGACCTTAGGTAAAACAAATCACTTCTAAACGTCAGTCTGTTTGCCCAGCACCTACGGGCACCTGCCTCCCAGGTGTCAGGTGCGGTAAAACTCAAAGGATGACCTGAGTAAGACAACTGAGCTGAGAAGAACTGGCAAATGTCTGATGGCTGAGGGTGTCAGGGCTTCCTGATGCTTCCAGATCAGGTCCTATGGCGACCTCACAGAGGCCTATTAAAATGGCAGGGAGGGACCCAGGCCAACAAGCAGGAAAGGCTGAGCGGATGTGACCTGTGGGGGACTCCACCCCACTCCCAGCTGATTTAGAACCAGACAGTGAGTGTTGGTGGATAAAGATACAGGAAATGAGGAGCTGGCAGGGGCATGGTGGTAAGGTGCTGGACTCCCATACGGCTGACAGCAGTCTGAGTCCCGAATCTGGTGGCTTGATTTTTCACCACTGCCAACCACCCCGCCCTGACTCCCCCGGCTCTCTCTGGTCAAATTAAAATAATAAATTAAAAAAAAAAAAAGAAATAAGAAACGGGACAGCAGGTGGTATGGTGAAGGCGCTGAATTCCCACATGGTTGACCATGGTTTGAGTCCTGGACTTGGCAGCTTGACACACAAATAAATAGATAAATAAATGTTAGAAAAAAAGACACAAGAAATGGGGTCACCAGGTTACATGGTGGTTAGGGCTGCTAGATTCTACCTGGCTGACTATCTAGTTTGAGTCCTGGACCCAGCCGCTTGAAAAACACACCAGGCATGTGTGGGTGCATGTCCAAAGTCCCAAGAGGAGAATGGAGAACGGACTGGGTATGACCAACCCCCTGGGGGATGCCTTCCCTCTCTTTCTTTTATTTTTTAAAAAAAGACACACAAGGGGAACCAGCAGTTAGCGTAATGGCTATGTCGCTGGACTCCCATGTAGTCGACCGCGGTTCGTGTCCC